TTCGATTTTGTATATGCTCTGGAGCTAAGCATACATCCTCAAAAATAATTAATGTACTTCTCTTAGGTGAGAATGCTTTTGTACTAGAAATTTTTTCGGGTGGTATATAGCTGAAACTAATATCCTTATAGTAAGGCGCTCTTGGGTCTTTTGAAATCATATTATATATATATTTAACATATGCCCATTTTAGTTCGTCTAGATGATAACTGCATATAATCAGGTCATCACAGTGGATATATCTAGATCTGCCTTTCTTCCCCTTTTGCACATATTCATCCTTATCACCAAGAATAAGGTTTGCAAGTAAATTAGTTTTACCTGTACCACTTTTCCCAGTAACAACTATAACGAATATCCATGTCATTGCTGGATGACCTACATTTCAGGATGATTCATGCTCTGTAACTTTATCTATATCCAAAAGACGGAGTTTCATAGGAGGTATTTCTGTCTTTGAACGCTTTTGCATAATGGATTGGAATTTCGTATTTTTGTTTTTTATCAAAGGTATTATATATTTCGGAAAAATTTTCTCTTCATTAAGGGATGGAATAAAAGAATATAGATGGGAGAAGATAGACTACAGGAAGTATATGATTAGTAATAGTATTATAAGAAAGATCGCAAGCTGAAAAAAGAAAGAACCAAATTTCTCATTACTAATAAAGCTTTGCCAGACCTTGATGTAGTAATGGGTGATATTGTGAGATGGTTACTATCGAGTTTCTCTTTTGATTTTTATTTAGTGTGATCTATTGGGGACTTCACCTCATTTTTTACTTTTCTTTCATCAGGTTCAAATTCTGAGCAGTGTGAAGAAAAAGAGGGGGTCTTGCCTTAAGCGTCTTCAAAAAAGAAACTGGATACCTCTTCTTCTTCATCACCACCTATTTTTGAATCATTAGATGACGGATATGATTTTAAAGGGATCTGTTCTAGTTCATCTCTTTCGGCTTGGTGCTCTAGATCACTTACCCTTAGGCAGAAAATTAACCCATCCTTAAATGATGAATTTTGCATAACTTTCTCCAGTTCATTTTCCAATTCCTTTGCTTTAATCTCAAGATAGGGATTGCTACACAACTGGATAGTATCAGAATCCTTTAATAAAACTTTTTGCATAGCTTATTTCAACTCAGCCTCCAGTTCATTTATTTTAGTTCCAAGAGAGATGATATCAGAATCCTTCAAAGATGAAGCTTTTTGCA